CGACCGTGAGCCTCGTACGGTGAGCGCATGCGCAGCTGGCGAGGAGCACGCGGGGTGCTTTGAGGTGGACATAACCTCTCCGAGAGGCTTTGTGATTAGGCTTGCTCGAGGACTGCATTACCACAGGCATCTCCCAGCCTCTTAGAGATGTGGGCCCCCCCTTTGTGCAGCTCTTCTTTGCCTGCCCATCGCTGTCAAGCTCGGCCTTCCTGGATACAGTCGTCGAGATGGTAGCTGATGCGCCGTCGTCCTTGGGCGGACTGAAGCTTCTCGACTGGGCTGGGCAGCTGTCTCATGCCGTGCAGGTCCGTCGTGGCGATTGAGTCTTTGAGCGCCGTCCCTGGTGCTCGATGTGGACTAAGATATTTGGTATAATCTCTGTTTCCCACCTTTTGCCATGCTTTTGACGAGGGGTCCCTAGCCATGCACTCCAATGACATCTCATGCCTCGCCCTCCCCACGCACAACCAGGCCTCGCTGGAGCGAGCCTCGCAGTATGCGTCGCAGCAGTCTGTGCTGGTCGGGCCCATTGCTGTGGCTGCAGTGTCAGCTGGGGAGGAGCCAGCGTGGACTGCGGGCCCAAAGGCATTGGCGGCTTTGCTGAGCCTCACCCGCTGTCTTCAGCAGTGAGTAGAGGGTGAGAGGCTGGGACAGCGAATGGCTTGCATCTGCAGAATATGGGTGTGGCTGGCATTCAGACTCTTCATCTGCAGCTCACAGAAGGGGGCAAGCACGGCGTGCATGTCTGGCTCCTGGCAAAGCCAGGTAGTAAAGGTTCTCCGGTAATAAACCCTGCACAGGCTGCTGCCCGCCCTGGCCTCATCAGGGCCAGCCCTGACCCGCTGCCTCGAGCTGCAACTTGGCACAGGAGAGGCGGCCCTGAACGCAGCGGCAGCGGCGGTGTCGGCGGCCGAAACACCTGCCAATCGTCAATCTCGTGCCGAGCAGTATGCTGCAAGCAGGGACGAGGTCTTGGACCCGCCACTCCTCGCCCTCACTGAACTCTGGCGGAAGGGTAGGGGTGGCGACCTGTGGCTTTGATATTGCTGATTGAGTATGAGGCTGGTATGGAGCACCTCGACATCACTCGAGGAACCATCAACCACTGCTGATCACCTCGCTGCCCATGCTATGTCCCCCTCCAGGTGTGCCCGAGTCTCAGGCCCTGCTGGCGAGGATGGAAGCTGTGGCTGAGGCTCATAACGGCTACAGCCAGCTCTTTGCAATCGCTGAGATCATTCAAGACAGGTGAAGGGGAGAGTTCTGGGGCATGTGGTGTTTAGCTGACGGGATTGTGTGCCGACCATTGGTACTTGATGGTTGATTGGACCCAATAGGCAATAGATGGAGTTGAATACCAATGACCGGCTGAAAATCACTTTGTCCTTTTATGACAGGACTCTGACCTGAGTATGTCTTTCCGACGTTTCCCACAAAAATACCCCAAACCTCAGGCAAAGGTTGTATGACTTCATGGACCGTCTCCAAGATAGCATAACAGGGGAGAGCATGGCAGAGTTTGCGTTCCAGAAGTGAGCTCTCGGCAGTGTCATGGTGGGATGCAAGGCTAGCATTGCGTGTCACCAGGTGCATCGCATGTGCAGGTCTCTCAGAGTCCTGTGGCTTCCCTCACCCATCCCATGAATGCATGCCTGCAGGTTCTTGGACCTTGACCGGCCAGCTGAACTCCTTGATCTTCCTGGAGCGTTTGATGAGAGGCTTGCGGCTTGGCTGTCCCTCGCCGGAGCTCCAGACGCAGCCAAGCGACTCCAACTCCAGTGAGTGTGCTCATTGCTAGCATTTGCTTGAGGAGCATGTGTATGAACATCTGCGTACCATTGCAATACCCTAGAAACCAATGAGGCAGCCGCAGCTGTCCTGACGAGCGCCCGAGTCGTCCCTCTGTTTGCAGGTGGCTTCACCATGTGCACACACGGTCATACCCTCAGGCAGCTGCAAGTGCAAGGGCTCTGGCTGCCGCAGAAAAACACACGGCCTCCGACATGCTCCACTTGCTGGCCATCCGGCGCCTGGCTAATCTTGCAGGGACGCCGAGCTGGCCCATCAGTGCTGGGGCCGACACAGAGGAGGTTTTTGGAGATACAGACCGCAAGGCTGCGCTCGTCCACGAATGGGTGCGTTGGTAGTTAAGGTGTACTCCCTGTCTGACCAGTGATGCTCCTCTCTCTGCAACCTGCGGCAGACCATGTTTTGCATAGTAAGCGCTTACTATTGGTGCAAATCCTTTCCAAGACCGGGCGCAACACCGGTTCCCGTTACTCACCATGCAGATGCGGTGTGGCTTGGAGGACACCCCGCTCAGTTTGAATGGGAGGGACATCCTGACGACGCTCCTGGCAAAGGGGGGAGTCGAGGCCTGTTCAGCTGGCGTCGAGGCGTTTTCTCTCTTTGACCCCGCCGAGCAGGAAGAGAACAGGCGTGTAGGGAGTCTCTTGCCGGCAGGACGTTGTTGACAAGGTTGGTGCATGACAGCCCAGAATCGGATTCCTTGCTCACTCCGTGCCCCTCTTGTCACTCTCCAGGCCCCTGGCACTCGAGGCCTGGAAACAGATCGCACTGTCCTCTGACTGGGAATCTCTTGCCCGGGACTGCTCCACAGCCCAGGGCAAGTCGCAGCACAGAGAGGCCCTCGCCTCCCAGCCCCTCTGCGCCGTCGCGGACGCTGCTTTCAGCAGCGCTACTGCGGGTGTGCATCGTTCCCAGGTAGATTGTGGTGCATGTGCAGGGGAGAGAGGGGGGGAGGGCGGCGGGCAGGGGGTGGGGGGGCACATACCAGTCGTTGTGCCTGAGAACGGGAGTTTTGTGACAGTATGGTGACAAGAAGGCCGTTGCATACTCCTTGCAGGTGGAAGAGGCTCTGCAGCAGGCCGCTGCAGACCTCTCGGATCCGGCACGGGCATGCATGCTGTATGCGTTCTCCATGGCTGCGCAAGGGTGAGCCTCTCTTGTATGAGGTTGTGGGAACGAGCACGGCTAGGCATGTAGCTTCTGGGGGAATAATTAAGTCACCACTCGATGGTTGCCATGAGGAAGACTCAGTGTTGCTTTGCAAATGGGTGATCAGGCAGGCTGAAGGGGGACACAGTGGCAAGGAAATGAGGGGCCTGGTTCACCTGCGCTGCCTGAGTCACGGCAAAGACTGTGGCTCGGCGCAGTCCTGTAATCAGTGGCATTAGATGGATGCAGGGATGGTGAATGCCTGAGTTCCTACTTGGGTGTGGTCCCCTGTTATTGGGGCCCACTTGGATCTCGATGTACAGTGGAGCGGAAGCATTGCACTGGTATGAATGCCACTTGTACCAAGGTACTTGAAGGCAGCTGGGCCCAACGGTTGGAAGAAGAAACGTGAAATGGGAACTAGTTGTAGGGGAATGGGGCAGAGACACACAGTTCGTAGCACATAACACAATGGGTATAGGTAGGGTTGGCCTGTCAAGCAGCTTCGGGGTCGATTGGATGAAGTTTCACGGTTGCAGACCTTTCTGATGTGGTCAAGGAGCACAGGGTGTTGCAGGTGTTGGGCACCAATGCATGTATAGGGTGATTGCACTGAGGATGGCACTCAGGACCCCAGCAGGGCTTCAAGAAACACAGGCTGATGGATGCGCTCTGTAGCGCCTCGCGGCTGCTTGGTGAAACGATGCGGCTCCGCAAAGTGGCGGCGCTGGAGACACACAATGCTGACACGGGACTCGTCCATCATCCCTGTGGAGCCCCTGCAGCAGCCACTCGCATCCAGGAGCGATCCTCTTGCCCACATTCTCCTCTCCAAAAAAGCGAGGCTGGACCAGTTCCCGAATCCAATAAGGAGGTCATCCTGGATCCGAGTACAGAACTGGTCGCAGATCTCCCCGATGGCGCGCTCTGACATCAGGTGTCGGCGAAGGCGCAGCCTGCAGAAAGGCCTGTCATGGTAGAAGGTCATGAGCTGTTGGAGCAATAACATGACTGCCACCACATAGGCCTGGAGGCGGTCGATGCCGGCGGTCTTTTTGGTTGGAGGTGTCATCTCCACGGCTTCCACAGTCGTCACCCTGACGGGGCCGTTTGGCTGTCTGAGCTCCCACTCCTGCTTCTGCCAGCCCTTGATGGTCTTGGTCATGGCGGTGTAGAGCGACTGGGATTAGAACGACTTGGTGCTGATCTGATGGCTCTTGTTGGACTTGATGTCCACATAGGTGCTGACACTGGCGCGACCGGGGTCCACGCCAAAGACGTTGTCGTACTGGAAGCCCGGGGCCAGGGCGGCTGTATTGATGATGCTGATTGGTGGGTAGGGGTGGGTGGGGTGGTGATGGTGGTCCGTGGTGGCAATGCAACAATGATGGCTGGTTCATCCTATCACAATGCAAGACACTCGACACCCACATCTCGCACCTTGCTGCTGCCAGATCGCGCTGCACTCTGGTCTCGTCGTTCTGCGTGGCCTCGTCGTGTCCCAGCTCTGCAGCTTCCCGCTGGCGACGGAGCTCCTCCTCCCTGAGCTCCATCTCTTCCAGTGTGGGGAGCTCCAGCATTCGGTCAGGTGGGCCGGTCCTGTCTGCCGCCATGTCTAGGGTCACGGGAGCCACCGCTTGGCTCAGAGTGGCGCTGGCAGCCACGCCGTCTGTCTTGATGACGCCGTTGAAGTCCCACCCGTCACGTCGCAAGTAGGCCAGGTCAACCAACTTTGGCCAGAACAGATCGTAGATGGGAATCCGGCCACCCTGTCTGTCTGGTCTTCAAAAGGCTTCCCAAGACGGCAGGGACAGGCCAACCTCGAGGAGGCAGAAGCCCGGCCAGGTCCCCTCGATGAGGCGCAGGATGGCCCAAAGTCCAGCCTTGTCCAGCTTGATATGGCGGCACTGGAATCCCCATTTCGTGGGGAGGAGGGTGAAGCGCCACAGCAGCGAGGTGCGGCTCCAGGGCGCCTTCTTGGCGGGCTTGGGGGAGGGAGGCGGCGATGACTTGAATGCTCCGTCGCGTCCCCGCATTGGCAATCAGGAAGTCTCGGGCTCCTCGCCTGGAAGCCCCAGCCTCTCCAGCTCGGCCTCGTTGAAGTTGAGGATAAAACAGAGAATGGGGTAGCAGAGGGAGGAGTGGTCCTCGAAGGCTCCCCACTTGGGTCTGACGGGCATGAGCGCCCGCATCTGCCGGACCCAGGTGGTGACTTCCGTCCGCGGCTCAACAGGTGTGTAGTCCTCGTCCAGCACCCGCTTGGCAATGGCGCATGCATGCTTGCACTGGCGGATGTTGAGCATGTACTGCGCATGCTTGGCCAGGCGCCGGAGGAACTCCGTCTTGATGTAGTTCTTGGTGCAGGTCTCCATCAGGGCGGCCTCCGCGCCCAGGATATGACACTGGAACTTGGCTTCTGCAGGCTGATACCCTGGAACCGCGCTCTCCCTCCAGCTCCAGTAGACCTGGGCCGTCTCGTACAGGCGCAGCTTGCCCTGATGGAAAGGCTTGTCAACCTCTCGCCCCTTGATCAGCAGGGGTGGTGGAGGCATGCACCTCCAGTTCTTGCCCACAAAGCGGAGGCATAGCCCGCAATTGCCTTCAATGGGGTCGGCAAGGTAGGGCTCGCACCTCCTCTGGCCAGCGGGTGTCAGCGGTCGCTCCTCCCGGGGCGGAAGTGGAGTGGAGATAATTTGCTCCTCCAGCCCTGCCGCAAAGCTCGCTTCCAGCGCCAGGTGATCCTCCAGCAGGGCCGCAACCCGCCGCTCGCACTGTCGCAGCAGGTGTGCGTTGGCCAGGAGGTAGGCCTCCAGGACGAACTGGCTCACCCTCGCGACGACCATGTCGACGGTGGCGCGAAAGGGGTTGGCATCGTGCGATTTGTAGGTGGGCCTGCCGGGCTTGTTGCCGCGGATGGTGATTAGCATGATCTTGGTGGTGGTGAACTCAAAGTTCTCGTCGTTCTCGTGCTCGGTGATGGTGAACTCGGTTTGGGGGGCCATGCTCCGTGGTGTAGGTCGTCGAGGACCGTGCCGGAGAGGAGGAAGTGGAGGGGCGGGAGTCCTGCAGAGGATTGAGTGGAGGAAGTGGAGGGGCGGTGTTGTGAGGCAAGAACAAAGGTGAGGGACGAAAACTGTACTGATATCTGAAGAGAAGAGAGTGGATGTTTATCACAGGATGACCTCACCTCATAAGGTTAAGACGACCCTGGTGATATTAAGCTGCATGGGCTCGCCACCCAGCAGTAACGCAGTGGGAGGGACCGGCGCAGGGCCACCTGTTTGTTTTTCTGACGGAGTGTACCTGTAAGCTGTTCCCTTTGCAGGGATGCGAGGAGTGAAATATTGGAAGCATGGATGTGCGCGGTGTCAGACTTCATGACGATCAGGGGACAGACCTTGTCGGGAATTTTGACAAGCCTAGCCCTAACCCACCGACCGTGGTCGCATACGCCACACGTGGGGATGCGTCAAATCCCTCCTTCACGCACCTTGGCATTATATGCTCTGGGTATCTTCAAGAGTGCCCTGATCAGGAACAGGACGGGAGAGCCCGCACCGCAGCGGCAGAGCGTGAGGCCGTCGGGATTGGGTGCCGCCGGAGGTGGCACCACATGCCGTGGTTGTCCAGTATACACACTCAAGCAGAGTACCTGTCAAAACTCGCCCGAGTACGTTATTTCCGTGCTGGCCTTGAAGCAGCAAGGCCCCCACCCCTTGGGTATCTGGACTGATCTGGACATTTTGGGGACTATTGTGGACCATCACAAGGTAGGGTTTTTGCCTTGGGGAGGGAGGGGAGCTCTCTTGCGGATCATCAATCTAGACGCAGAACACTCTACGAGGGTATGTGTGCGGATTCAATGGGGAGGCTGGGGGGATTGTGATTGCAGCACTCTAGCTTTGGGGCCTAAGCCAGGGCCCCTGGTGTGGTCGAAGTGGCTGCAGACTGATAATATCACAGAGCAGGCCCAGAAGGGTTGCAATTCGATGTTTCAAGGGTCGAACTTGCGAATTTGGCCGTTTGTCATACTGCACGATGGGAGGGACCACTTCCGGAGCAGAACAAAGGCAGCTATGGTCGGGGTCGAACAACAAAATCTAGGAATCGGCGTCCGTGTGGACTGCGAGGGTCATGCAAGGACGTCAAAATGTTGCAAATGCTTGTTTGTTACAGTGAAAGTGCCGAGAGCGGGAAAGAAGGGGTGATCGAGGGGTCAGGAACGTTGTAGTAAAAAATGGCTCCAAGGCGGATCGAACGCCTGACCTTGGCATCTTCAGTGCCACGCTCTCCCAACTGAGCTATAGAGCCTCTCTTTGTGATTTCTCGGATTTTCCCAGCGCCTATTACCACACGTTTGAGTTTCTGCATTCAAAATCAGCCAGCTTACCAATCCCGCCCATCCCCGTTCCACTCTTATCCGAAGTCTCCCGCATCCACCACTTGCAATTCTTACGAGTTTGACCAACCCTGACCAACCGTGGCAATGACCCTGGGCAGTCTTGCAGCTCATCTTGTCGCACCTCCACACAGCAGCACCCCTCCATTTTGGACCTGGAGTGCTCTTGAACGCCACAACCTCGCCTCCTCAACCTGCGCTTCCGTTTCACTGGACCATCCACCACTTGCAATTCTGTCGAGTAAAAATGCCTGTTTCATCATTGCAATGACCCAGACACTCTGCAGCCTATGTTGTCGCACCCCTCTAGTTTAGACCTGGAGCGCTCTTGAACGCCACAACCTCGCCTCCTCAACCTGCGCTTCCGTTTCACTAGAGGTAATCAAACCCTCACGCTGAACCAACCTCTAGCCACCCGAGAGACGTCATGTCTTGCGATCTCGCCTTGGCCAGTCTGCAGGTGCTGTTGTTGCACTCTTGGCAGCGCAAGGCCCCTTGCGAGAGAGTTCCTCTACGCAATACCTCGCTGCATCTTCCGAGCACCAACTACGCTTGATTACCCAATCCTTTGCAGTACCCCAAGAGACCCTGCAATGCCACTGCAACGACCTAGACAGCCTGTAGGTCCTGTTGCACATGTACAGTGCAACACCTCCACGATACGTCCTGGAGTGCCTCCCAGAAGACCATCTCGCCGCCTCACCCGCGTTCTCACTACACAATCTCATCCAAACCTCTACAGATCCAACACTCTCACACCCTGGATTGCCATTGCAACGACCTTATCAGTCTGCAGGTCGTGTAGCACTTCGACAGCCTAAAATCTCTTCAAGATGGATCCTGGAATGCCCCACCCTTGCCGCCTTCCCCGCGCTCCTGTTCCAGGAGCTCAACGGAGGATGGTGTGCAAAGTCAATCCACGGCAGGGCGTGCAGTATCACTTGCAGCGTGTCATTATGTCCTCTGCTGTTTGTCGCTGCTGAGGCTCCTATACTCGCCAGATCAAACAACTCACGCGGTAATGGTTGCCTCTTGCGACGCAGGCACCCGGCTACCTGTCCTTTGCTCAGCATGAAACAACAGCTCTACCTGCTCCATTCACGATCACAGGTGTGCACCCCTCCTGCGCATCGTGGGGAGCCGGCTGTCGCTCTGCAGCTCCTTGGAAGTGGGAGATTCCAAGATGCTGAGGGCTGAGGCTAACACGCCAAGCCTGTGAGGCAACAGGCCCTTTCGGAGAGCATTCCTTGCTCAGAAACGCCGCCCAATCCCCATTTGGTGAAGTTGAATGTGCGCATGGACACTTGATGCATTGTTGCATCCCCTCATCAATATTGAACCGAGATCACATAATGCTCCCTATCATGTAGATCAACCAAGCACAGGCAGCTGTTAGCAATGACTCCCCACATGTAGTCCAGGGCGATCTTCGATATCACAACGGTCATCCTTTTAAATGGAAAAGGGCTTGTGATAGACAAGCGATACAGCATGCAGGGGCAGGTTGGGGCGATTTGATGGTGTACATGGAACGGACTCATGCCGCAGTGGTGGCTCCGATGACCAAGGGGCGCAAAGAGCAAGGATGTTTCCAGAATAAGAGCAAAGGACGAGGGTGGGAAAGCCGGGGTCGTGCAACGACCATCGAGTGAATTACTATAGTTACCAGAATACCAAGCCGGAGCTGGCTGAAAGTCTTCGACAAAAACTGCAGTGATTGTGCCATCTTGGGTGCAGATAGGTGGGTTCAAGCTGTCATCACAGGTGAAGCCAGACTTGAGTAGGGAGGCTTCTGCAGGGCAAATGTCAACTGGAGGGCTGGGGCTTGGACTGAGGAATGGAGAAAGAGAAGGAGCCTCCTCAGGGCGGGGGGCTGGGGCTGGGGCTGGGTGACTCCTCAGGGCTGGGAGAGGGAGAGGGAGACTCCTCGGGGCTGGGGCTAGGAGAGGGAGACTCCTCGGGGCTGGGGCTAGGAGAGGGAGACTCCTCGGGGCTGGGACTTGGGGAAGGGGACTCCTCAGGGCTGGGGCTAGGAGAGGGAGACTCCTCGGGGCTGGGACTTGGGGAAGGGGACTCCTCAGGGCTGGGGCTAGGAGAGGGAGACTCCTCGGGGCTGGGACTTGGGGAAGGGGACTCCTCAGGGCTGGGGCTAGGAGAGGGAGACTCCTCGGGGCTGGGACTTGGGGAAGGGGACTCCTCAGGGCTGGGGCTAGGAGAGGGAGACTCCTCGGGGCTGGGACTTGGGGAAGGGGACTCCTCAGGGCTGGGGCTAGGAGAGGGAGACTCCTCGGGGCTGGGACTTGGGGAAGGGGACTCCTCAGGGCTGGGGCTAGGAGAGGGAGACTCCTCGGGGCTGGGACTTGGGGAAGGGGACTCCTCAGGGCTGGGGCTAGGAGAGGGAGACTCCTCGGGGCTGGGACTTGGGGAAGGGGACTCCTCAGGGCTGGGGCTAGGAGAGGGAGACTCCTCGGGGCTGGGACTTGGGGAAGGGGACTCCTCAGGGCTGGGGCTAGGAGAGGGAGACTCCTCGGGGCTGGGACTTGGGGAAGGGGACTCCTCAGGGCTGGGGCTAGGAGAGGGAGACTCCTCGGGGCTGGGACTTGGGGAAGGGGACTCCTCAGGGCTGGGGCTAGGAGAGGGAGACTCCTCGGGGCTGGGACTTGGGGAAGGGGACTCCTCAGGGCTGGGGCTAGGAGAGGGAGACTCCTCGGGGCTGGGACTTGGGGAAGGGGACTCCTCAGGGCTGGGGCTAGGAGAGGGAGACTCCTCGGGGCTGGGACTTGGGGAAGGGGACTCCTCAGGGCTGGGGCTAGGAGAGGGAGACTCCTCGGGGCTGGGACTTGGGGAAGGGGACTCCTCAGGGCTGGGGCTAGGAGAGGGAGACTCCTCGGGGCTGGGACTTGGGGAAGGGGACTCCTCAGGGCTGGGGCTAGGAGAGGGAGACTCCTCGGGGCTGGGACTTGGGGAAGGGGACTCCTCAGGGCTGGGGCTAGGAGAGGGAGACTCCTCGGGGCTGGGACTTGGGGAAGGGGACTCCTCAGGGCTGGGGCTAGGAGAGGGAGACTCCTCGGGGCTGGGACTTGGGGAAGGGGACTCCTCAGGGCTGGGGCTAGGAGAGGGAGACTCCTCGGGGCTGGGACTTGGGGAAGGGGACTCCTCAGGGCTGGGGCTAGGAGAGGGAGACTCCTCGGGGCTGGGACTTGGGGAAGGGGACTCCTCAGGGCTGGGGCTAGGAGAGGGAGACTCCTCGGGGCTGGGACTTGGGGAAGGGGACTCCTCAGGGCTGGGGCTAGGAGAGGGAGACTCCTCGGGGCTGGGACTTGGGGAAGGGGACTCCTCAGGGCTGGGGCTAGGAGAGGGAGACTCCTCGGGGCTGGGACTTGGGGAAGGGGACTCCTCAGGGCTGGGGCTAGGAGAGGGAGACTCCTCGGGGCTGGGACTTGGGGAAGGGGACTCCTCAGGGCTGGGGCTAGGAGAGGGAGACTCCTCGGGGCTGGGACTTGGGGAAGGGGACTCCTCAGGGCTGGGGCTAGGAGAGGGAGACTCCTCGGGGCTGGGACTTGGGGAAGGGGACTCCTCAGGGCTGGGGCTAGGAGAGGGAGACTCCTCGGGGCTGGGACTTGGGGAAGGGGACTCCTCAGGGCTGGGGCTAGGAGAGGGAGACTCCTCGGGGCTGGGACTTGGGGAAGGGGACTCCTCAGGGCTGGGGCTAGGAGAGGGAGACTCCTCGGGGCTGGGACTTGGGGAAGGGGACTCCTCAGGGCTGGGGCTAGGAGAGGGAGACTCCTCGGGGCTGGGACTTGGGGAAGGGGACTCCTCAGGGCTGGGGCTAGGAGAGGGAGACTCCTCGGGGCTGGGACTTGGGGAAGGGGACTCCTCAGGGCTGGGGCTAGGAGAGGGAGACTCCTCGGGGCTGGGACTTGGGGAAGGGGACTCCTCAGGGCTGGGGCTAGGAGAGGGAGACTCCTCGGGGCTGGGACTTGGGGAAGGGGACTCCTCAGGGCTGGGGCTAGGAGAGGGAGACTCCTCGGGGCTGGGACTTGGGGAAGGTGACTCCTCGGGGCTGGGGCTGGGGCTGGGCGACTCCTCGGGGCTTGGAGAGGGCGACTCCTCGGGGCTGGAAGTTGGGCTGGGAGTTGGGCTTGGTGTCTCTTCGAGAGGGGGACTAGGAGATGGAACAGGGCTCGGGGACCCTTCAGGAGTTGGTGCTACTCCTGACGGAGAAGGTGTAGCGGTTGTAGTGTCACCAGTCGCCTCTGCACCCGTTAATCCTGAGGTAGATCCCGATTCGGTCTGGGTGGTCCCATTAACTTCCAAGATACTGCTGCCCGAAGCCTGTGGAGGTTCGGAAGAGCCAATGATACAAAGTTTGAGGGTCTTTCTCCTGAGAAACTCCCCACCACCTCTCCACCATATCAATTTTCATGCGTTGTAGCTCACCGTAACACCAGATTCGTCCGCAGTAGCCGCGCCAGATCCCTCGGCGCTCACAGGTCCAGGCTGGGACGACTCTGAGAATGCATTGTAATTCGATACGGCCAGTCTGTCGGGCCCTGCTGCAACTCCAGCGAAACTGCCGGAAGCCTGTGCCGTGAAACTGCCATCGCTCTCCGCCTGCAGAGGGATGATGTGGTGAGCATGATGTGATGAGCAGATCAGATGGCGAACTGCATGAGAGTTCATTTCACACTTCGGTGGCACAGAGTGAGGACACAATGAGCGCATGCATACACCACGGAGGGTCCTCTCCTCACCGGAACCTACCGATCCACGACCGAATCCGTCGACACTCGATCCGCTTCCACTGCTGGTTGCATCCAATCCAGCCTCGGCCCTTGCATTAATTCCGGTGGCCGCGCCTGTGACCCCTCCGGATGCGCTATAGCCTCCGTCTGTGGTTGCCGACCCCGAACCCTCCACCGTGCCATCCGATGAACCGCCCACGCTGAAGCTTCCCAGTAATTTCCTGCGCGGATGAATCAGTGTTTGGAGTGTGTGACTCTCGTCGACTAGCCGCATTCGCAGCACTCACACATGCCTCTCTAGGCCTCATCGGCCATTCCTCGCTCGAAACACCATCGTCAGATGGCTCGGAAAGAGAGGAATGCAGATCGCTTCCCTCATGACGCATCTGCTCTGCCACTCACTCACCTAGACAAGATCGATCTTCCCGAGGTCGGTGCCGCAAGGAGCAGGCATGCCATGATGAGGGCCAGGGGCCCATGATGTCTCATGGTGACTGCCGCTGAGTGTCACGACAGATACACTGGACCTATAGCGTGAATACTCGGGCATACTACGCTCTGTGTGAAACTGCATGCATGCTATATCTCAGCCCGGGCAACCGGCAACATACGGTCTGGGACGACGCGAAACGTCCGCATGGGAGTTTCCAAGTCCACCGGCCGGAGCAGAAATGTTCAAGGGCCGATCGAAGGCCAGCCCCACAGACCTTTCGCCACACGCACTCCAGCCTCCAGGGGACTTGGGCCTCGAAACTAGGCCATCGTACAGATCTGCACCCGACTGGGCTTCCTTGTGGCCGTATGCTCCGGAGTTTTTCATCTTGGTGGTACTCTCTGGCAGTCGCACTCCGGAAAAGGCCTGGCTTCTGGCAGTGCCGAGATTCTCTGCGCAGATATGGGATGGGCAGCTGAGCTGGGTTTTTCCCCCAGTTTGCCTACCACGCTACCGTACCTCTTTCCACTCGAATACCTTGGGGAAGAATGTGATTAAGCAAAGCTCAAATCGGTGCATGATCAGACCAAAAGTGCGCTCGGGACCGTGGCACTTGCCAGGGTCACGAGACGCACATGCCCGCCGTCGTTGTCGTGTACATGACGACGAGGGTTGAGAGCAGGCAAACGAGCCGCATAACCTTGTATTACGCGAATTTACTGCTGATAGGCGATGTTATGCGTTCTCCACGAGGATTATTTCTCTGGCTTTGATGGGAGATGTTCGGAGCACAAGGGGTCTCCGTTGTTAAGTTCCGCACGCCTACGCCGTCCACGGGTTGTGGGGTCCAGGAAGCTCGTGCGCGAGCTTCGGCAGTCGAGACAGGCGCGTTAAAGTGGAGCATAACATTAGATGCCGATTATCCTCTGGCTGCAACCTCCAAAGAGATGGGAAGGGTCCCGCGGTGCGGATAGGGGAAATTCCCAGAGTGGGGCAATTCCAAGAGCGGTTACCGGCTGGTTTGGTGCGGAAGACGAGCGCCCACTCGTCCTACAATCTTTCATTACAACTTGGGAGTATTTCAACAAGATCCTACCGCAGGATGGAATTTGGGAGGCTCACGTGCACCCACCCGAGAGGCCGAGGTCCCTTCTCGTACCGTCATACTGACCATACAACAGACTCGGAGACGTACATCCCCTCCTGCACGACTGTTTGCCTGCCCAACGCGACTTCTCGATCAGGTAGAGCTGCGCGCAGCACATGGGCACGTCCAGCGTCGCATCTCAAGAGTGCTTCTCGAGAATAGCCAGCAGTGATGTCTGCAAGGACCTTCACAGGAGCACAATGGGGGGGCTCCACAATGTGCATGTTCCTACAGCTACATTGATACACAGCAGTTGCCATGCTGGCCATTGCAGCACAGGCCCACTCAACAGCAACCGACTGTCCTTCTCTTGTACAAGGAGAGTCCTGGCCCTCAGTACTAGTGTGCCATCTGCATACACGAGTGCAGCACAAGTATACCATGCACCTTATCACAAGGTGCCCCGCTCGGAAACCATCTGCAACTTGAAGGAGCTCTGTTACAACAGTTCCTCAACCTCCTCTAGGAGTCAGGTCGATGGTCCAGAGTGGTCCAGCAGGTGGCAAAGGGAAGGGGAGGACAGGAACAGGCGTGCTCCTCATCATACTTCCCCATCCTTTCTTTGAGTATCTCGACTCAAGCATGACGTGATGATGCCCACAGGAGGCTCCCAGATGGTCGGGCGGCCGTCTGCCGCAAGTTGTGGCAGGCGTCTGCCAGGCGTCACGCCTGGTCGGACAGACGTCCCGTGCTTCGCCTCGCGGCAAAGATTCTCCTCTCCCAATGGTCCGAGGCTCCTCTCTCTCCAATGGCATTGATGAGGTGTTGTTGGTGTATAGGACTCATATCTCTATCTCGAGCTCCTTCCTCATGCTCAGCTTTCTCTCGCTCGGTCGCAAATTGCGCGATTCTGTCGGCCATTTCCGGGAGGTAGCCTCTCTCTAGGACCTCCAATGGCACCGTCAGCGTAGACTGTAGCACTGCAGATAACATCTTGTAGTCCTTCTCAGGTATCCGACCAACCAACTTCCATCCTGGCCAGGGCCGTCTTCGCGGCCGTGTCAAACCAGGTTTTGCCGATGTGCGTGCCGGTGGCAGGGCACTGTGCTGGCCAGCACAACTCTTGGTGCTGAACCCAGCCATGGCGACAGGGGTCTGAGGCTCCATGCGCTGCGTCGTTCCCGCCTTTGACTCGGCTGCCGGACACGCGCCGGCCGCAAGGCTCGTACCAATACTGTCGTTAACTCCGCAACATGCTGCGGTCGGGCGGTCCGTTGCCCGTGCGGGGCGGGGGTGCATCCAGCACCGGCCCCCAACACCCAAAGGGGTCCATTTGTGGTTTCGGAAACCAGACGTGTGCGGGGGTAAGCGCCCCGCGGCGCGGACTGCTGCTACGCAGCCTGAATTAGGTCTTCACAAACAGTCCCCGATCTTCTCTGAGGGTGGGGTTTTGAGGTCCATCCCCTGGTGGGGCGTCCTAGGTGAAGACATGGGAGTGGGGAAAGGAGGAAGCGCGGGATTTTTTGTGTCAACCAACCTCTTCACCATCTCCCCCTGCTATAATAACACAGTACACAGCTCCCATCCTAAGTCCATACGGAAACTTGGCATAGAACTCAATCAAGAAGATGTATCACTCGCTCGCCTTTCTCCACCTCGCAGAATGCCACCCCTTTTCCAAGCTCCAAACTTCAAGTCCACGCAGCCGCCCATCCCAGTGCTATCAAACATGTCCTGCCCTTGACTGATCCCCTCCCTAGTTTAGCTCGGAATGTGCTGCGTTGTCAACTACTTCCTGGTCCAGCTACTATTCTCATGCATCGTACTTTGTTTGCATTGCTTCATGAAAAGTAAGAATCCGCTGCTATCCTTGGGACAGGGAAGCAGATTTACAGCCCATGAGATAGACGGGTGTCTGTCGCCTGTACTGAGGCACCCCAAAGCACTCAGCTGCACATAGTCCAGCTTGAGCCACGCCACTCTTTCATACAGGTTGAAATTCCGGCACACAATCCCTCCACACAATGCCAAAGAGTACTAAAAGGCGTGCACTCGCCTCTGTGTGCCTCCTTTTGCACACCATGCATACAGAATCACCGAAGAAGGGGTGGTGCGTGTAACAATTCAGCGTGCTGATAAGCCGCCACCAATATAAGAAAGTTGCAATGTCACAAGCAGGGAGCCGCCTGTGAGCAGTCTCTCTTGGGATCATGCTGCAAGGGGAAGACAGGAGAACAGTGTTGCTCCTGGGCATGGCACTAAGCTGCACATTCAAAACTATTGTGAATCTACGATCAATCAGCTTGCAACTCCCAGATGACGTCAGACTGGCATGTTCCCTCCAGCTCCTAGAAACTCGCACACCTTCTTCTGTGTTGAGCCAGTTGCTAATCATACCGCGCACAGGGCCGATCCACTGCGGCCCGTTGTAGAGAGCCAGTCCAGCCACCATTACCACGGTGCCAAGCAGGAATGGGAGGCCGAGGGGCGGGTTCAGCGGGAGGAACGGAAGGTCAAACTGTGAGGGGGAGGGTAGGTGGGAGGCGAGATGTTGTGGGAGCAGAGCTTGATAGAATCTACACCTCAAGCTGCGCTCTTGCACAACATGGGGATACCCCATCTCTCCACCAATCCACTCACAGTGAATGCATAGATGGTGAAAGGAACGATGCTGGCCATGACCTGCGCGGTAAACAGACAGGGAGAAGGGATAGAATACCTTCTGATCAACTGTTTACCTCTAGCGACATACAAAGCACGCACACAATCACCCAGATTCCACCAGAAAGTAACACATCCCAGCACGCCGTCATTCTCACCAGTGAGGTGATGACGTTCCCAGCAGACCGCACGAGGTTCAGTGCTGCGATGTTGAAAGCCAGGTTTGCGCCGATGTACAGGAGGGGGAGCATGGGCGCCCCAGTGGCACCTCCAGCCAGGCCCCAAAACACCGACCAGCCTGATGGTGTGACATGGTTGAGGAATGAAATGAATGAACAATGGATGGCGGTGATCAACTGAGCCATGAGCTTCAACCCCATGCACTCCTGTCCTGAGATCGTCCAGATTGAGTTTTGAGGCAGAGAGTCACAGTACACCTCCCTGCCTCTTTCACCCCCCCCTCGCAGCTCACCTTCAGCAAGGTACCCGGGCAACCCAGAGAGGGGGATGCCGCGCAGAGGGGCAAGCAACGGCAAAAGGAGGAGGATGCAGGCGCTCTGCGCCAGGCTCCCAAAAGAATTGACGACGAATAAATCCAGATCCTTGCCCTTCAGAGTCTCTTTGGCTTCCCTGTAGGTGGGTGCACGAGGTAGGGAGGGATCTTGAATCCACAGATTGAGCGACACAGACTTCGCTTTCAAAGGAAGAGTGCTCCTTTGAAGAGGCTCAAGCAGCTCCACCACCTCAAAGGCCACGCCATTCCACGAGCACATCCCGCAGACAGGGGGAGGTGCTGCCCAAACCCTCTTTACCAGCGCCGATTCCTGACCTGAAGAGACGCTCCTTTAAGATGGAGTCGAGGGCTGGGAAAATCATGGACGCACAGTAGATCGCAGCAAACATGAGATTTACCTGGGCAAGGAGATTGATGAGGTGTGCATCGAGAGGGTACTGATGACATGCAAAGCTGAGCTATGAACCACAAGCTCGACTCAAAACCCGTTTAGCATTGACTCCCTGACGCATGAAAGGTGCATCCAATCAGAGTAGCTCCCAATGAGTCTTGCCCCTTACGCAGATGTATCTCACATTTGCAAGAGGAGACGAACCATTGCTGGGCCAAGCTGCCGCCGAGACGCCCAGCACAACGAGAGCCACACCAAGCATCTGGACCACCGTGCACAGGTGAGGCGTTAAATTATCAATCAACAGCTTATTGATAAAAGCTGTGCTCGTTTAGATGCTGTGCAGGGACACTGATGGGACGCTACCCCCACATGTGCATCCCACAACACAATCCCTCACCCACCTGCACCGTACTCAGACGCTTCTTCAGGAGGGTGAGAGCAAAGAACACCTGCCAGAACAACACCGTCTGTCCGAGAAGCGGCAATACCACTCCTGCAGAGAGGCGAGACATTGATGAGGATGAGGCTGCCAAAATGTTGACAGGATGGTGATGGAACGCGAGCCCAATTCAGTCACAGCCAGGAGAGGCAACCTTCGACAGACTCGCACCATCTCTGTCCGTACGACATCCCAACCCAACCCAACCTGGGAGCTGCGAAGCTCCATAAAATCCCAGGACGGATGATACGGCTTCCACGCCGCCAATTAGAAACAGGAGCTTCTTCTTGCTTCCAGCCACCCCGATCATGGAGCTTGTGATCTTCCCGGCTCTGCTTGATATGAAGACAGAGGTGCAATTGGGTGGGTGTCGGAGGGGTTAACTGCGCCTCCCCTTTGCAGGTGTACAGATCGCAAGGTTTGAATCGTCCAATTTTCCACCTGCATGTGTAGAAATCATGTATCCTAAGGGTCAACACCTAACCTAACCCTGTCCCAAAAGCCACCTGAATCTGTAGGCCAGGACGGAGAAGTAGACTGCAAGGTAGCCAAAAGTTTGTAGCTGTGCTAGAAAAAATGAGTAATCGGAGAGTGGGACGAGGGCGAGCTTGTAGAGCACACGATTCCCAATGCCCAAGATGAACACAGCTGCGACGCTCGCCTGCAAGGGGACATTTAAGATTGGGAGTCACAAAAATGGCATTGGAGTTGAAAATCTCCAGCTGATGAGGTGATGCAAAGGTTGTAGTCACTGCCAAATGGATGCAAAGCAGCCTCACCGCAATATACAAATTCTGATTGGCAGGCTGGGCGGGAGCATCGGCCGTGGCCTCCGCGACCCCATTCTCTTTTCCATTGGCATAGTTGTGCTCGTCTTCTGTATTGGAAGTAAGCTGGTCGACGTGCTCGGTATCCCGTTTTACCAGAGCTTCCTTCTCGGTGGCTTCCCCTGGGGAGGTGGCTCGACAAAGGCCGCAGTGCCTCGATGGCAGAGCTATCCGTCTATGCAGTAGTGGATGCTGTGACTTGAATGGTCTGACGGTGATCACTTGAACTCCATGCCGCGTGACCGACGGTGTCCTTGCGGCGGAGCTGCAAGCCTGCAAAGTGGAAATTCTCCCTTGACACGCGCCGTAGGACAACATTGGAGGGTGAAGGCTCCCCCAGTTGTCTTGCACGTTGCAGCGACCGTGGCGGAGAGAAACTGATTATTCAACCTGTACGTGTCGCTGGCATGCCACCTGCTTTGCAACTGCAGCACAGTCTGCTTCGTCACCAAGAATGATTCAGTGGCGGTCAGGGCGCGAGACATGTCGGGGTGACTAACATATTAGTAGTGAACCCAATTCCTTATCGCGAGGATTTTCGGGACCCATCGTTATTCAGTAGCTCCACCGACGATCCGCGCATACTACTCCCTACACCTGTGATTAAGACTACCTTCAATCCAATACTTGGAGAGTGTACGTTGCCTGTCGAGCAGGCAAGCCGGCCTTTCGGTCGGATCTCCGTTGCAGCCATGCACGCATCCATATGCCTGAAGCCTACCCCACTCTCGCGCGCATTCGTGCCACGGGGCACCGCCCCTCGCTCTCGACACTGCCGCCCTTTCCGTGTCATGGATGATGGATCTGCCCTACTAGCTGTTGGCGGGACCGCGGCGGTCGCCGCGGTGTCTGCGGCACTGCTGGCCGCTGATCCCGAGAAGAGGCGTGCGGTGCAGACCCAGGAGGCCGGTGGCAATGAGCTGGAGGCCGTGGCCAACTACTTCAACACCCAGGGCTTCGAGAGGTGGAACAGGATTTACGGTACCACCGACAACGTCAACAAGGTGAGATGGGTGGGCTTCCTTGCTATGGCTTTCCAGATGCGGCTGGAGGCACTTCAGGGATGATGCGTTTTCTGGTGCCGTGTTGGGCAGTTCTGCATGCATTGATCTTGCCAAGAGTGGGATGCATGTGGCAGGTCGCTGTGAATAGGGCTGCAGGGGTGCGTAGGTTTGGCTTGCAACAGCCAACACCTGCACATGACGTTATTGATTGTGCAGAGCTTCCAAGCCACATTTTCTGACACTCCAACATGTACGGCCTCCCTCAGGTGCAACTGGACATCAGGGAGGGCCATGCCGTCACTGTCAGCAAGGTCCTGAACTGGCTTGGAGAGGCCTCTCTGCATGGCGTCACTATCGCCGACATCGGGTGCGGCACGGGATCATTGGCCATCCCCCTGGCGCTCAAGGCAAGCAGAGCTCATGGGCAGGGTTTTCGTAACTTATAGTGCATGTCTGGTTTCTGGTGTTCATCTCAGGCTGGAACAGAGAACCCAGCAAGTTGGTTGACATTTTGACGACACTCTGCCCCACTTGCTGCCTCCAGGGAGCTTCGGTGACGGCTTCCGACATCTCCGAGGCCATGGCAAAGGAGGCTGAGCAGCGCTACAAGGCAGCGAGCAGTGAGCCAGGTGCCAAGAAGCCCCGCAAGGTGCGCCAGGTGCTCCTGCGTTGGGATGGGTGAGGGGTGGTGTAGAGGATCATTTTCTCCTGACAGAGGGACCTATAAATCCCCTTTCCCCTCCTGCGACAGGCGCCCACGTTCCAGGCGCAAGACCTGGAATCATGCTCGGGTTGTTTTGACACGGTTGCATGCATTGATGTCATGATCCACTATCCTCAGGTGAGGGGGGGTGGTTTTCTTGGCGATTAGGATGTCCCAAAGCAATGTATGCATGGAGTGTGGATGAAAGTATGCACTGGTCGACCGCGTTATGCTGTATCTCAACATTCCACACATGTAGGACAAGGTGAATGGTATGATTAAGCACTTGGCGGGCCTGGCGGACAAGAGGTTGATTATCTCATTTGCCCCAAAGACCTTTTTCTACACCTGGCTGCAGCGTGTGGGCAACCTCTTTCCGGGGCCATCCAAGGTGACTGGGTCTTCCTGGGATGCCTGATATGATGGGAACAGCTTGCATACTCCCTGCATGAGCATGTGTCCACTGTCTAATGCTCTTGTTCTCCCTGATTGTCAGATTTGATCCATGTCTCCCATGTTTAATTGCCCTCCATCCACAACTCCCCTACCAGGCAACGAGGGCATACTTGCACGCTGAGGCAGACATAGAAGCGGCTCTGGCATCAGCAGGGTTCAAGGTGACACGGAAGGAGATGACTGCCACCAAATTCTACTTTTCCCGCCTTTTCTATGCAGAGCGCTTGTAGGCTTGCTGCTGTGTTGATGCTCGACACATGTATCAAGGCTCCATTGCTGGGGCGAGCAGGCACACAGAGTCCCACCCAGGCAGCAAGGTGCTGCATGATCTTCAAGCTTGGAATGCCGGTCAGGAGGAACATGCAAAAGGGCTGCATGAGTAAGCCCTCTCGTCTGGATGATGCAAGTGTGGGAGAAGGGAAAAGATCCGGTGGGAACATCTCAAAGGGTGAGCCTGTCGAAATCCATTCTTCTATATTGGTGAGTGCTGTTGTTGACAAGCTCAACGTCCAAAGGCCACCGCTGCGCAGCTGCATTGATTAGTCGTGGGGGAAAGTCTGCAAGTGCGACTGCAGGAATGCATTCCACGTGCTCCCCTCCTTCCCAGGGACGCAACTACAAAATGAGACCATTCACATCCTGTCTCAAGTGTGGCCATTGGGGGTGGAGGGGGCTTTCTGGCTGTCATGTGGCGGTGCAAGTGCTGCAGCAACCGCCACGAGGCCTCCATGCTCCTCGGCCTCTGCTGCCTCTGTGCCATCATTCCCGCCCCTGACATGTTCTGGGCTAGTCACTCTCTGTGGGGGTGTCAAGGCACCAGAGCCCCTGCACATGCTTGAAGATGAGGGAGGCATGTGAAGCAGGGCAACAATGTAGACTTCCTGTTCATAATCAGCATTCTTTGGCGGAGGATGCACCAGCAACACACAGCAGACTGAACAGACCTGCCCTTAGACCCCCCCCCCCCCCCCTCCCTACTCACTCATTTCGGTGGCGACTGGTGTCTGGAAGGGGTGGGGCAGGCGGTGCAGAGAATCCAGGCTGGGTCTCCTTGAATCATCCCCGCCGTCCCAACTTAGACCAGACGATCTGAGAACCCATGGAATTGGGAGCTGAGACGCCTGGCACGCGATGGCACTTCAACCATGCACGGCGAGGCTCCAAGAGGATGAAACTCCGAGCATGGGATCCGCGTCACCAGCCGGCCATGCACACCTGATCTCACGATCGGCACATCGCACTCCGCACGCTGCATCCTACCTGATGGTGGCGTCCTGGACCCAGTCCTCCGTTCGGTTACTGTTTCCCCCAAACAGCGGCTTCAGGATGAGCTCATCCAGCTCCTGCACCAGGGGATCAGTGGGGCCGGGGTGCCGCTTGCCTGCCCGTCATAAACGCTCCGGATTCCCACAGCCAGCACCTGGGGGCCGAGCATTCACCTTCCCACAACAAGGTCACCATGCACCTTGAACTTCTCATGCGTCCACGAGCGGATGGTGACCTCAAACCGGCCCAGCTCCGGGCCGCCATGCATGGGACTGGCCAGCCCATCCTCGGCCAGGGACATTTGGTGCAGCTGGGCGTCGTCCTTGTTCACGAGGTCCAGGGCCGTCAGCAGTGGACCTGGCAAGTGGGGAGAGGCCGTCAGGAGCTGTTGTGGGGCGCTCTGGGCTGGAGGGGAGTGCTACACTGAGCGGTGTACGACAACCCATATGGGCGCTGCCGGTGAGGGGCCCCATACATTGCCAAGTCGTCAGACGCATGAGTGCATGGAAGGATGCACACGCGGAGCGTGGGGTCCAGACTCCACACCCACCACCCAACCCCATACCACCAAATCGGCTGCATGCTCCTACCTGTGGCAGACCCCATGACCAGGGTGGACACGACCACGATGAAGAGCGTGGCGGTCTCGATGGCGGGGACGCCCGTCTCCCCGGGCGCGTCGCTGCGTGGGAGGTTCACCACCAGGCCGTAAGCGACGGCGCCCCGCAAGCCCACCGCCCAGAGCATGAGCTGCAGGTTGCGGGGCATGCGGTGCTGCAGGCCTGCGTGGGAGGAGAGGGGGGGCCCTGAGGGGTGTTCGTGTGTGGTCCAGAGAAAGCACTCGCCAGGGTGGCCATGCATGCATGCTGTGCACGGGGAGAGACCCTTTGTTAAACATGAGCCACCAGGACCAGACCCCCCTCGGCCCCCCCCCCCCCCCAACCCTTCCCCTATTTGCTCACCCTGGTTGAGGATGAAGGAGCAGGGAAAGACGTTGGCGGCGCGGGAGAAGACTGCCAGGGGGACGCCCGTCACGAAGAGGCCCAGGTCGAACTTGTGATGCATCGTTGCGACCTGGAGGCCCAGGTAGGCCATGACAAACATCTCGCAGGCAAAGGCCAGGAACTCCGACAGCTTGCGAAGGGTGATCTGGGCATCCTGGCCGATGTTGTAGTAGGAGTAGTGTGCATGGCACACGCCTGCGCATCACTTGGTGGGACGGTGTTGTGCTCGGGGGTTGTGGGGTGGCAGCATCGTTGAGCAAGGGGTACTCATGCGAGTCGCTGGACCAAGGGATGTGATGCCAATGACACCCCTGGGAACACCGGGGTCATTCTCCAGACTCGGCCCCTGGCAGCGGTACCCACCAGCCCCCCCTCCGGCCACCCTCTCCCCCCCGCAGAAAGCAAAGGTTAAATAGCAGCCTAGACCTGAGAAGAAGAGGGCGACGATGCCGCTCATGCCAGCCAGCTCCGCCAGGAGGTAGGCGAGGTAGGAGCCCATGACCACGATGGCGATCTCGTACAGCGTACCATCCACGTGGCTGCGCCCCGCCGCCGGCCGCTCCAGACGCTTGAGCAGGAAGGCGGCGGCCAGGGCCACTGCCACACCGATGGCCAGGCTGCCCAGGGCCAGGGCCACGAAGCTGACCAGCACGCCTAGCAGGCTGCTCAGGCCCATGGGCGTGTCATAGAACTTGGCCAGGGAGCGGAAGAGAACGATGGCCACGGCGTCGTTCAGCACGCTCTCCCCAAACACCAGGTTGTACAGCATGGGGGGGACGTCGGTGTCCGTCAGCACGGCCAGGGTGGCCACCGGGTCTATGGAGGAGATGGCCGAGCCTGCAGGGGGTGGGTGGGGGTGGGTGGGTCGGGGTTTGCGTGTGAGGGTGGGTGGGCGGGGTGGAGTCTCGCTCGACCCTTCACCAACTGATCGTGGGTATTGAGTTCCTGAGCGGGCCGGAGTCAAGCAAACAGGCCCGCAAGCAGAAAGAGCCAAGTGGACGTGTCGCGCAGAGGGGCTTGCGATGATCCACGATGAAGACGCATCGTCACATAGAACTAAAGATAACTGCGCAGAACTGGTGCAAGAAGCCGACGCCACATGCCAATGAACTTGCCTGGAGCCACAGACCCCTACTGATACCACACCCGAACACATGGCGCCCCCCCAACAATCTCCCCAAGCGCTCACCATACATCAGGCACTCCACGAGGGGCGCTCCTGCCATGCTCGTGATGTTGACCACCTTCAGGAGCACCAGCAGGTAGGTTGCAAACCCAAACACGAGGGCGGAAATGAAGGTGCCCACCACCTGTACCGCGAGCAACGGTGGGGTTTGGGTGAAACAAAGGTGCTGCCAGATCAAGTTGTGATTGCAGGGCAGTAAGCCTACCGACTGCATGGAGCTCGCCTCGGGCACGATCAGGAACTCTAAAGGTGATACAGAGGACATACAGCACCCTCAACCCACCACCAGCTCGACTCATTTCCCAATGCATTCGGAATCACACAAATAATCGCTCTGCAACTCACAGCAAACATGAGGATCGGCCCAAGGTTGTGGAAAAACTGCTTCTTCTTCAATGTGAAGCCCGCTGCAAACACGATGGGGGGGAGCAGGGCGTAGAAGAACACCTCTGGCGAGAATCGCAGCGGCTTGGCCAGACCTGGAAGGAAAGGATGGAGAAGGTTGATGATCACTGTACATGCAGTGGCTTCAACCATAGCATCGATTTGCATTTAAGCAAGCCCCCTGGGTTTGAGTAGGGGTGCTGGGTCCACGTGCTATGTTTGCACCAGGTACTCCAATCGCGCCTCTGCCATTCAGCCCCCACCTCATCTGCAGCATGCAAGCCTGTTCCTCACCGATCACTTTGCTGAGTATTCCAGCAAATATGCCGATGACCATCGCACAGCTGGCTGGGGGTATCCAGTTGAGCTTGTGACGCTGTATGAGGTAGGTCACCACAATGACCACGATGAGGAGAGCCCATAGTAACGTGATCTCCTCCTGTGTATGCGGGAATGGGATTGTTTGGGAACCTCAGCGGCCGTGGCTATCCGTTTTTGCCTGAGCGTTCCTCGAGAACAAGCGTCAATGTCCCCGACTCGATGCCCTAAGGGGTCGCCGGAAGCTTACAGAGGAGACGGCCTCTCCAGAATAGCCTTTGCCCACCAGGCCCATTACGACACTTCAACGCAGAACGTCGATCTAGCGTAATCTGATCGAGCACGGCCTCGCGACTTCTAGACAGGTGGAGAAGGAGTCGAGACTTGCTGGGACACCTTGCGTCTCTCCGCTACTAGGAGCGCATTGTCTCGCGAACCTGAGCTTTCATTTAACTGGGAGGAGCATGTGCTCTATAGTGATTTTAAGCAAGTACTTGCACAGCGTTCGTTTAGTGTATTAGACCAGGCTTGCAGCGTTCCGGATTTATTTTGCCATTCAGCGCGCCCGGAGATCAGAGTCACATAATCAGAGGGAGACACGACTTCAACGCAACATGCCAGATATACAACTGCATGGGGACCCAAATGCATGCAAGCAACGGGGCTGTTGCCTAGGTACGCTCTTATAAGGCCCATCCCTTCCTCGTCTTGCAGCTATACCGGTTCTTGGACCTGGGCATCCATGCCCAGACAAGCACGAAACTATCCAAAGGCTACAAGATTAAAACGACATCTTCTCAGACTCCTCCCTGATCTTCTGAAATAGCACGGACGAGAGGTAGCGCTCCCCAAAGGATGGCAGCACGACCACCACCAGCTTGCCCTCGTTCTCAGGGCGACGTGCAATCTGCAATGGGTGGTGGCAGGTGCGATCAGCAGGGTGTGATGTGTCACACAAGGGATGACCTGGTGAGCGCAACAGTGGCCGAGCTTGGGGTGTGTAGGAAGCCCCTGCAATCCGACCACGGTGCAAGCCATGCCCTACAAAGAAAGGAGTCTGTTCTTTACTCTGTTTGCAAACCTACTCACCTCATTTGCTGCCAGAAGTGCAGCACCCGACGAGATTCCCACCAGCAACCCCTCCTCACTAGCCAGCCTGCGAGCAGCCTCTACAGAGTCATCGCTGCTCACCTGCAAGGGGTCGGACATGAAGGCCAGATGATGGCATGGGAAGGCCATATCGCGGGGCAAATTCGCAAGCTGGCCCATCCAAACCCTCCCTCCACACAGGAATCTATGATTTTCAATGGACATCAGCCATGAAACCCACCTGGATGATCTCGTCCAGGATGGAGGTGTCCAGATTCTTGGGTACGAACCCTGCCCCAATGCCCTGGATCTTGTGAGGGGCAGGGGAGCCGCCAGAGATCACAGGCGACTCCTTAGGCTCCACTGCGATCAACTGTTGTGGGTGTGGGGGGTGGGCCGGTGACGCAGAGTGGGGGATTACACTGCCACCCCTACTGGCAGTCCTCGCACTCCGGAATCCTGGAGTGGTTGCATGCCTTGGGACACACCTTGATGTTGGGGTTCTGCTCCTTGAGGTAGCGGCCGGTCCCCGTAATGGTACCGCCGGTGCCCACGCCAGCCACGAAGAAGTCGATCTTCCCAGCCGTGTCCCTCCAGACCTCGGGCCCCGTGGTCTCGTAGTGGATCTTGGGGTTGGCGGGGTTCTCAAACTGCTGCAGCACAAACGCGTTGGGGGTGGCTGCGGCGATCTCCTCAGCCAGGGCCACCGCGCCCTTCATGCCCTTGGCCGGGTCGGTCAGCTTCAGCTCGGCACCAAAGGCGCGCAGCAAGATGCGCCGCTCCAGGGACATGGAGGCGGGCATGGTCAGGATGAGCTTGTACCCGCGGGCGGCGGCGATGAAGGCCAGTGCAATACCGGTGTTTCCAGACGTGGGCTCCACCAGCGTGGTCTTCCCCGGCGTGATCTTGCCCGCCTTCTCCGCCTCCCTGATCATGCTTAGGCCGATTCGGTCCTTGACTGCATGGACGTGGTGCAGAGGCCAATGTAAATTGCAACATGCAGGACGTCTATGCCTTGCGAACACACCCGTGCTCCATGCATCCATGTCGACCCACAGAATCACAAGAAAAACCCTCATACAGGCATCTCACCAGAACTGCATGGCTCCATGGTCTCCAGCTTGGCTGCCACCCTGGCCACATTGCCCTCGGTCACCTTGTTCAGGTACACCAGGGGGGTGTTGCCTGCAGGGAGAGTGTGAGGGTTTCACTAAGATTTGTGCAAGAGAGAGAGAGCTGCCGCATCCAGGTGCCCTTAGGACCCCGAAATCACCAGCTTGAGCTGGGGACAAACCTCAAGGGTGCGCTCACCTCCCAAGCCCCGTTCAGATCCTCCTCCACACCATCCCCTCACTATGCAGTACCCCCACATCCCTACGCACCGATGAGCTCCGAGATGTCATTTGCGATGCGGGGCTGTGATGTAGTGGCAGGGGCTTCGGGTGCGGCCACAGCGCGGCAAGACAAGGAGTGGCGAGATGGTGGCACGAGCCGGCTGGGCCCCGCCTGTGTGTGTGAGTACTGAAAGCAACGTCACGAGATGGTCGCCACGTAAATTTTTACTCGTAGGATGAAAGCAACATGGTCGGAAGAAGGATTGTGGAGTGGGGAAGTTCGGGACGAATGGCAAGAGTTGAACTGTCAGAGGGAACAGGCAGCACAGCCCCAGCGAATTTGCTGGCACATAGGAAAACCCCAGCACGTGTAAGGTTCGAAGCCGGCAAGCGCCAGCCCCACTACCTTTCCTCCCAGCACACAGAACTACCAACACTCACCCTTATGGCACGCCGCACAGAGGGAGGAGCGCAGAAGGATGAGGTTTGAAGGCACCGACTACTTGCGGCCTGCGAAACTACGGAAGGCATCGTCGTGGAGGGCCGTGCGATTTGGGGAATTCAAGTGCGCTGCAAGTGAGTAATCGAATTACTTGAGCGTCGGCTCAGAGGTGCATGTGGGATGTTTAGATATTTTTTGGAAGGGGTTTCGGCGCGCGCGACCCGCGAGGCGATAAGAAGAAAGATCGAGCATGGACTATGAACGGAGCTGCCCGGCGCGCCACCCCCGCGTACGTCGTCTCGGCCAATAAATGTCCATGGAATAGGGGATCCAGCTTCCGCGACCATTGTCCTGGGCAACGTGTGGTGCTGTAATGAGTCCAGATGAGTGTATATCCCCTTTAAAAGCAGATTGCAAGGTCTCTCTGTCGTATGATGGGACTGTATGCTCGAGGCCGCAGGGCCTCCTCCCTCCTCGTACTCGTAGCGTTTCTCGCGTTTTACCCTGCACCGGCCCAGGCACAGTGGTGGGCCAACTTGGGCGACATATTTGGTGGTGATTCTGGTCCTCCTCCTGCCCCAATCCCGACCGCGGCGGCACCAGTCCCGACGACGAGTGCGCCGGCTCCGACCGCCAGCAGCGACCCACCCCCGGCAGTGGCTCCCCTTCCCGTCAGCTCCACAGCCATCGCTGAATGCAGTCTCCTCTACGCGATATCTCAGCAGGTTAATGCCTCCATCTACACGTCGGCAATGCAGCTGGATGGTGTTCGCAAGTGAGTTGGCCATCTGGGTGCTGCGGGTAAACCGGAACAGTGTTCATAGTGATGAGCCAGCAAGCCTGGCCTGTCATGGACTCCACGCCGTGCACAGTGCACATACTCGTGGGTGCGTGTAAGGGTCTCGGACCATGTACCATCCCTCCAGCTTGCCACCAGCTGACCTCCTACACCTCTGTCACTTGCAGCACTCTGAGTGACCCGGCCTTCAAGGGCACGGCTTTTGTTCCAACAAACGCCGCATGGTCAAACCTGCTGACTGCCCTTGGATGGAGCCAGGATCAGCTGCTGGATGCAGGTTCTCGGGACGCTCTCAACGAGACCCTCCAGTATACCATTGTCCCTGGGGCAGCACAGACGCAGCGGGCCTTGGCAGGCCTGACCTACCTGGCCCCGCTCCCTACGGTACAGGGACAGCCACTGCTGGTGTGTGGTGCAGGAGCGCATGGCAGACATCGGGCGATGGCTTTGCTGGGACCTGGGTGTGATATCCCTCCTTTCCACGAATGCAGCCACACGGCCGATCTCCCTGTGTATGCAGGCTTGCAGGAAATATGGATGAGACATTACACCGCACTTGCCGACATGGTTTTGGTATCTGTGTAGGTGCACCCTTCTCCTTGCTCCTTCTCCTTCTGCAGGTGGATTCGGAGACGGGTTACCTGCGTGTGGTTTCCACCAGCCGCCAGCCTGCCGTTGTGGACTTCAACACGACCATCTCCAGCTGCCAGAATCAGGCAGTGGCCTACTTTGTAGACCAGGTGCGATGGGTCGAGGGCCATGTGTCTCGTCATAATACTTGAACCAAGCTTGCCAACTCGGTAGATTGGATACCAAGATACTCGCGTAAAGAGCACCAGCCTCAGCACTGCACCCATGCACCCCCTTGCACTCTTGCACAGGTGCCCCTCCCTGACCCTGCCTGGGTGTCAAGCTGAGCCACAGGGGGACCACATCCTCATGCTCCCCTGTTCCAACGCCGACATTGGCCCTCCGGCTGGTGTGCGAAGACTGCAGCAGTTGTGCACAGGGATAGCCGCCACTGGGCGTCATGAGCTTCCGTCTGGCGTGTACCAGCGCTGTACATTCAAGTTGATTTTCAGCAGACAGAGCGTAGGGCCCCTGCAGGAGTATGCTTATGACGAAGGGAGGCACGGATTGGGTGACGGCGTCCCCATCACTCCCACGACTCCACCGCCGCCTGCATGCACCCCTTTCATTTGCCGATGCAGAACTCTGAGAACACAGAGTCCAGCACCTCCTCGGTGTCCACCACCCCGCTGATGGCCCCCAGGGCGCGGGTGGCCCCCCGCAGCTCCTCGGCCGCCAGCTCCAGCGCTGCCCACACGCCCTCGTACCGCTCCAGCGCGGCGACGCACCGGGAAAGCGCGGCGGCGTGTCTCGCGCGCGTGACCAGGGCGGCGGCCTCGGGATCGCCGCCCTGGGCCAGGATGTCCTCCACTGCCCGCCCCAGCAGCTGGGTCAGGTCGTCCAGGCCCTCCCCCGTCTCGCAGGAGATGAGCAGCGGCGCGGTCGAGGGGGGCCCTCTGTCCCGTGGCGCAAGGTCTGCTGGCATGCCGAAGCCCTGGCCCCGGGGACCCTGGCCCTCTGCCAGAAGGTCTGCCTTGTTCCAGACCGACAGGGTCAGCTGGGCCTCTGACAATTCGCCAGGCGTCGAGTCGCCGCCCAGGTCCCCAGCCTGGGTGGCGGCGGCATCGTCACTGGCCCAGACCGCCTGCGCATCCCGGAGCTGGATCACGATGTGTGCGGTGGCCAGGGTGGCCCTCGCCCGGCGCACGCCCTCGGCCTCCACAGGGTCCTCGGTCTCCCTGATCCCGGCGCAGTCGGCCAGGATCACCTGGGGTGTTGGGGTGTTGAGATGGGGGAGAGGGGATTGTCCTGGGACATGGGGCATCCTCCTGAGGACCTTGGCCACGACATGCCACATGGATACATGATCACATTCAGCTGCCAGGCCCCCCCTGTGCCCACCCACCCGCTGGCCCCCGAGCTCCAGCTCCAGCTCCATGACGTCGCGCGTCGTCCCGGGGAAGGGGGACACGATGGCCGCGTCCCTGCCCGCCAGTGCGTTCAGGAGCGAGCTCTTGCCCGCGTTGGGGGGCCCCACCAAGGCCACCCGCACCCCGTCCCGCACCAGCTGGCCGCGCTGCCCGCCGCCCAGGAAGCCCGCCAGCTCGGCGCGCAGGGCGCGCATGTCCGGCAGCACCCCGGCCGCCACCTCGTCGGCGATGCCCTCGTCCTCCCCGAAATCGATAACCGCCTGGCCTTGGGGGGGGGGG